TTAATCCGAGAATTCTGACTTTTTGCTCAGAAGTCTAACTTTAATCTCAGAATTTTGACTTTTTTTCTCAGAATTCTGACTTTAATCTCAGAATTCTGACTTTAATCTCAGAATTCTGACTTTTTCCCCATATGAAACTGAAATAAAATTGAAATATCAGTTAACTTTTTTTTTATTTTTTCAGTGGCCCTAATCATCTTCCGTAGAAAACTGTAAAAAAAAAAAAAAAAAAAAAAAAAAAAAAAGGAAATATATTTTTTTTTCCTGTTGGTGTTTTTACTTATTTGACTGAAGATAATTCAGGAATACCTGTGAATCTATGAAGCACAGTTGCGGGCTGGTAGTGGATTAAAACTATCACATTATTCATCCATCAATACGTGCAGTGTGTGTGTGTTGGTGTTTGGGGTCGGATGGGGGGGCGCAATTCTAAGTCAAAGGGGCACACTATAAGACAAAATCAACTGAATTAGATTTTAGGTACTAGGGCGACATCTGCTGGCAGCCAAAAGCGGCGCAGATAGAAGCGGCTTCAATCATCTACTTGATGAGATCCACCTGTGCGGATAAGAACGGAGAAGCATAGAAGTTATCTTTCATTTCGGTATATTTTCTCTCGCACGAATAAAAAGAGCAACAGTAAAGATTTTGGTGGTAAAATGCCTTTAAGGAGCAGCTTGATCTTCCAAAGCGCGTTGCTGGTGTTTCTACTGAGATTTGGAAAACTTTGTTGCGTTCAGGTCTGTTTCAGAAACTTTCAGCTTCTTCAGGGTTTAATCCTTCAGCTCTCTGTATTTACATGAATCTGTTCTCTGCAGGGGGACACAGATACACTCCCAAGACTTTCAGGTGACATTTTCACTCATTTATTTATTGTACGTGTTATCTTTTTTCTATATTTGTCTGTTTTAAATATTTAATATCCTGGTGGCATTATCATTTTTATTCAGTAACTAGGATTCACCTCATTAAAATATCTGAATTACTTTGTGTAAAATATAACGTTGGTGAAACAAATAAAACATCCTTCCTGTTTTGTTTAAAAGCTATCAAGGCTTTAATTGCTCTAAAATTGATCAGCCTGTCCTCATTACTGCACCAGCTGACCAGAGGTGGGTAGAGTTCCCCAAAATTGTACTATAAATTTTACTCAAAAGTAAAAAAAAGTATTCGGTAGCAAGGCTGCTTGAGTACTGAGTAATCATTGGATATTAACATGAGATTTAATGTTGAGAAATTATCCTGGCTTCAGACTTCATGTGCAAGTTGTGGCATTTTAGACTCAAACGCCTAAGGAATAAAAACGTAATTGATATAAAAGAACAAATTTGTGCACAAAAATTACTTACCACTTTTTTTAAACATAACACTTAAAAGATAAATAAATAAAACAAACCTTTACAATGACACTTTGTACCAAACTTCCATTGTTAATATCTACTTTGTGATTCTCTTATTTTCAAATGTTATTTCTCTATTTCAAATAATACTAAAGTAAAAAGTACGGCACAGTAAACCTACTCAAAGTACTTTATTTTTTATTTTTATTTTTTTCCAAAAAATGTGAAATGTAACTAATTACTCCCCAGCTCTGCAGTGAACCGCTATCATGTACAAGCATTTAAAAGAAAAAACCCTCCTGGTCTCCAAAATGTGAAAACATTTCAAAGGAGATTTTATAAATTAAATGGGAAATTAATTTCATAGACAATATTTTTGATCTAGCTAAAAGTCTATGACCTACACTGGAAAAACAATCTAGAAATAAGTAAAAATGTCTTA